GGTTTTGGATTAGTCACTGTTTCTCATTCCGACCCACTTCACAAGGTCATTATTGTGGGGAAATTAAGAGGAAGAAACAGTACTGTATTATGTTTGCCACTTTGATTTAAGTATAAAAATAATAAAATGTGATATAAATAAATAAATAAATATAAAAATATGGTTCTGCAAGTTAGAAAAAAAATATTTCAGTATAATTTTAGGGAGATTAAAAATAGCCCTTTACTCACTTCAAAAGCCTTAGGAATCTATTCCACTATATAGGAATTTACTAGCCAGGAGCCTCAGTTGAGGATTGAAATTTAGTATCCTTTGTGGGAAATTTTATATCAAAATATATTTTATCCCTCATACCATCTCCATCTTCCCTTAAATATTCACAATGGACTGAAAATCCCATCTTTGCTAGATAATTAACAGTCAAGCTGAAAATAAATTAATCAATAAAAATAGCAAATGGGAGAAAATCTTTTCCTCCCACTTCGTCGAACTCCCAAATAAGTTACCCAGACTTAATCCACACATCAAAGAAGAAGGTCTGTACACACAACTAGAGTTAATTAAAACTGTCTCTCAGCAGAACCACATGTTCACCAGAATAAACATCACAGGTAACATGTACTTCCACATGCCCATGCCTCTCAAATATCACATTAGAACCAGCATGTACACACATCCGCATCCCTCAAGACCCACATCAATGACAAGCTCCCTATAAACCTGCCCTTTTGTACCTCATTTTCTCTATAGCTACCCCCCACAGGCAAACCTCTTTGGGGAATAAATAAATATCCTTTCCTCACAACGTGTCTGGATTCCATTTTGATTTGTTATTGTGCAACTGTGGCTTGAGTTGGAACCCCAAATTATTCTTCTGACACCTTGCTGAATTAGCAGATGGGCTGTAGGGATTCAGAACTGTCAGGAACTCCTGTAAGTTATTGTCCATACTTTAAGGTCACTAGGAGAGACCCTTCTGCATATCTTTGCACCATCAGAAGTGACAAGAAGTAAATGGCATGCATTGCATAGCTGAAAAGCAGCATTAAGAAAGCTATGATGATCAATTAAATATAAATTCAAGTGTTACCAGTGTGCAAATCTCCCCTTCCTATGTCAGGGAATTGCAGTCTCCTTCCAAATCCCCTTCCTTGTCACCATCTAAACCAGACATGTCCAGCCTGCAGACCATGGACCACATGTGGCCCTTTACATGTAATAATGCAACCCCACAAGATCATAAACTGTAACATTATTTATAACACACACACACACACACACACATATACACATCCTATATTATATATTTTATATG